GGGGGGGGGGGGGGCCTCCCGCCCTGAGCCCTGGAACATATATAATTAAAAGAACTATAGTGGCCACGTTTATGCTAGGAGCCGTATATTCTAGGCGCCTCGAGTTCGCCCAACTGCCCTGGAGGTCTTCTCATCTAAGGCGGCCGGGGCCTGTGCATGCCCCAGAGAAGTGCTCGGCTCTCGCGCTATGCGCACCTACTAGCTCGCTCCAGGGTACCGGCTCACCAAACTAGCGCACAGCGCGAGAAGTAGGACTACCTACATCCTTTTTAGCTTACCCTCTATCTTTATTTCATGATAATCATAATTTCTGATACTTAATAATGTTCCCTATTTTTTTACTTCTACGAAAACGAATTTGCTCTATCTACATGTTGTACAACATCATATCGCTGTAAGTAATACCAGCAGGTCTATCAACATGACATCTTAACTATAATTGCGATTATTTGGAACAATCACTATCTTTCATATATTTGTTGATGAATGCACCGCTTCAAGGCTTGCGCTTTTTGTTTTTGATTATCTCCACTGCATTGGAGAAAAGCAAGCGGAAGACTTAAAAAAGCTCAGTGCGCAAGGAGGGGCCATGGAAAAAATCCATTGCGTATTCGTCTCGCAGCCTCCCGGAGTTCAGCAAACACTGCAAAATTGAAACCTGGGTGCCCTGCGAACCCTCTCGCACGCTTGCCCCAGAAGAATCTTGTCCAAACGCTCGCCCACTGTCGCTTTGGGTTCGGGGGGCGGGGATACGCAAGAAATGCAGAACAAACAGACAGGAGCCCGAAAGAAAATAAGTACCTCGGCCCACGAAGCGGCAACAGGTTGGAAGAAATTTCCTCCCTTTTTGGAGCGGTTTTTCCTCGCCTTCGGAGCTCTTCTCTCTGTAGGAGTTTCTGAAAGCAATACCAGCCTTAAACGCTGAGCCATTTCATGATCAGATAGCAATGCTAAGGGAGAAAAGTATGTACAAATGAAATGCTTCAACCCTTAAAAGCCGATCTAGCTTCACTTCGTTCTAAAGCGCCAGCGCAAACCTGTTGCTGTAGACGACGGAAACATGCTCCCAAACTGGAGTGAATCCATGTGAAGAACCCGAGAGCAGACGAAGACCAACGCGAGTCTAACAGCCTCTACGCGCCCTTTTGCAACTGCTGAAGATGGATCCTTCCCCAGCGCCCTCACACGAGATACGCAGGCGGCAGAGCCGCCTGCAACAAACTGAGCCTCCTTGCTTTACCAAGCTACGCGCAGGCCAGAATTGTCGCTGAAGCTGCGGCACATCAATGCGCCTGGCTCCGCGACTCCGTATTCGAGCCACGATGGGCGGATTACTCCTCCACAGGAAACATAGAGTGGGTTTACGTCAAGCCTTAATCAATTTGATAACAATGGATGCGCGAGAGTTATTCGAAGATTTATTTGGTACCATCTTCTAAAACATATCATATGTCTCACATGTCTGTCCTTCGGACCCGATCTACCACCCCTGCACATGAACAAAATTTTACTCAGGAAGAAGAATTTTGACAATACTAGCCTCAATCATGCTCAACCGCTTTCTATTTATTGTAACTAGATGTCAGTGCAGCTTTCTACTTACTTTCTCCAATTTTGTTGTTATCCTTCTTCTAAGAACAACGTAAACCCTAGGATGTTTTTCGTTCTCCTACCACGACGGTCAGTTATTTCCCCTCCCCCAGCATCACTAGCAGTCGTGATCATTTCTTCTTCCCCTTTATTTACACCTCGGTTGTCGCGTCAGCACCGGCCAGCGTACCGTAGTCGCCCGCCATCTGAGGCTTGGCGTCGCCAGTTTTGTTAGATGATAAAGCCATCATGTGCTGGTGATTTGAGCAGCATGAAATCAATCGGATTCGAAACAAGAATCTGAGAACGCACTGTCTACTGAATACTCTAAATATATTGGAAGTGAATCTCTAAGAAGACAGGCATCACACTGTGTGACTCACGCAACAATCAACATGAACATCTCTCGAGAAATAATAGTTCTTACATACTGGACGAATCAATTAGAAACCTCCGACATAATCTTGTTTTTCTTGTCCTTCGTGGGCATGCGCATCTTCCGTGCGACTTTCCACAGCAAGAAGATTCCAAAGATTAGAGGTAAGGCTTGATTATCAAGCTGTCCTCATTTGTTGAGTGAGATACCATGGACTACATGTTCGTGTGACCTTTTTACATTGGAACGTACTGCACGGACCGTTACTTAGAATCCCTACTTTGCAATCTATCAGTTGTGTCATGTCTCAGACTCAGAATCATGATATGTAATGCCTCTACCTCGTCCTCGCTCACTCAGAATTCTATCTGTAACTATATACTTGCCTTAACCTAAATACTAGTACACGACAACAGATGACGAACAGCTAAACCTTAACAGGAGCACGAGCAGCATGGAGATGCACGCGATCGAGTCGCTGTAGTCGATTTGATGCGAGGGAGGCAACTTCTGGATGAAGGACGATTTCGACGTCGACGGCGACCAGCCGGGGGTTATAGTGAATTCCAGCCCTGAGGGACCGATCATGGCAATGCCTAGGTTCCCTCTGGCCCCTTGCTTCGCGTTCAAAAACTTCTTGATGGCTACCAGTCCCTTGCCACTTTGGAGCATTTTCACGAGCTGAAGATGAAAAGTGGAGTGAACGAGTTCTATGTGGCTATTGAAAGTTCGTCAGTGTTCAGGACAGAACAGCTCTCACATTCGGACAACAGATAAACACAAGTCCCAAGTGTCATTCATCAACGGAAAATCCATACTCCTTCATCGCCACAGCCTCAAATCTTGAAGCGATCTCTTCCCACGTAGTTACTTGAACTGCCTGCCTTGATTAAAGGCTAAGTAGCTAGTTCAGTTTTTTGGTTGGATCGAAGCGATTTCCACCGGATCGAGTGGGGCGGCTGCCTGCTTGGGAAATTCTTGATCTGGTTGTCCGCGGATCCAGACGACCTAAAAAAACTTCACCAACTCCAGCAGGCCTCCCCCAGCCGGTGCCCAGAGCTTCGACCCAACCAACAACTGCTTTAGTCTATCTAGCGTTAGCGAATTAACTACCTAAGTAACTTATAAAGCCTTCAGTGGTGAGTTCAAGTGCCGGACCAGTGAATGAGCTTTCCTTTGATATCATTTGAGACTATTAATAGAATCAGGAATTTTTTGGCCCGTCACGGGTCATGTTTCTCGGGTTGCTCGGGTTGCTCGAGTTGCTCGCCGTAATTTTTTGCGCGGCGCCCTTCGGGCGCAGCTTTGTGAGCCTCTGGGATACCATACCTTAGCAGGAGCATGCGACATTCAACGACATGCCTCCGCTCCCTGGTTTTCTTCTTAATGCGCACCAGCGACGAGAGTGAGTGACCACCCTCAGCTCGGGAACTCCTCCCAGCCACTTGATCAAACACGCAAGGCATCCGCCACGTACTCTTCTCTACTTGCTTCCTCGGCTGAGTGGGCCGTTCTCCAAAGCAGGCGAGAACCAGAACTCGCTCCCAGTCCCAAAAGAGACGCACTGGGAAGAAAAAAGGGAGAGACTGGCACCGACCCAACGACAAGCCACAGCGACACTCTCTCCCCTCAAACAAAAACAACGAGGCGAAGCCGTCGGCCCCTTAGTGCCTGGCTGTGCTTCGAACGCGCGCCCACACGCAACAAGAAAAAAAGCCGGGGGGGCTCGCTGGGGAGCCCTTCACAACCGGCCGCCCCTCTCATGAGAGAGCAACAACAAAAGCAGCCACCTCTTCACTTCGCGCAGCCACAACCGTGCCCATACCGCCCTGCTGCGCCGCATCCCGGTGAAGCGGATGGCTTCCGGTAACTCGTGGCAACTCGTTCAAGAATTGAAACCCTTCGCTTCGGCAACTCGAGCAACTCGTTGCAACTCGAGTAACTCGAAACCCGATATTTTACTTACTCTATAATTAAGTAACCCCAATGCGAGTGAATAGAGTAAACAGGTACTCTCGCCTTCTTTGTTTTCAAATTTAGACTCAAGGACTTCAACCATAGGGGACTAAGAAGATCTTTGGAAAACAAAAACCTAGTACACCAACTTAAGATATACCCCGTCCCTGAAGGTTTTTTGTGCATCCTGTAGGGTGTGCATGTCTGTGAGGCGAGAGCCGTCGAACATCTTTACTTCTCGGTGACTTTGCCACCCGTCCAACATTGTCCACTTGTGTTGGAGATCGCCCCTGCTTTTAATGGTTGCAAAATCCGAAGTGCCTCCGTTTGGCGGCCATAAGCTCGCATATATGTCACCAAGGGACTCTGCCCAAGGCCGTCGCACCTGATGTGGGAGTGGGAACAAAAGGGAGGAAACTTTCCAGAAGCGTATCAAAGCGGCCTGCCGTTAGTGCCTCAGTAGCGTTTATCACCTCATGGCGCTACAGTAGCGAAACACTGCACAGAGACGGACAAAATTGTCTCCACCTAGTCGCGGAAGTGGTCCGCTTCGCAGTGCTTGCGGCTTGCTTCCTGCCGGTGTGTGTGGGTCCAAGACAGTCGGCGGCGAATTTGTGCTGTGGGGTTCTGGAGGGGCGCAGGGATTCCCATCGCCCCCAAGGCTTTCTGCTGGCCGTGGCGATCGCGGGAAGGTTTTTGATTTGTTGAAGGAACACAGTAGGCGGCGAACATTTTTGAGGTAGATCCTGACCATGCCCGGCGTCGTTGGATATTGCGCATATTTTTGCGTTATTTTGCTGAGCTTCCTCCAATGAATTTAAAAAAACAAAAAAGAAAAATTGCTCACTGACTAAGATTCCTGCTAATCTGGGCGCTAAAAATTCTGGTAATTTAGCAGCCCGCGACGGAATGCACCGCGGGTGGCCCGCTCAGTAGAATGCCGCTGATAGATGCATGATTGTGTGCTGTTACTTTGTTTTCGGGGTCCCTCGAGAGAAACTTTGAAAAGTTATGATATTATATAAGAAACCCAGCACTCTCGAAGAGAGAGCGCCTCCGACTTGCGCGCCCTCATATAGGCGTGAAAGCGCGCAGAGTTTGGAGGTGACAAATTAGAATCCGCCCTAGTGTGCCGAATTAGCATGGCGAACCTCTAGAAAGAAAATTAAAGCCACCACCTAGCCGGCAGATCAAAAACCCCCCCAGGTTAAAGTGCTGGAGCGACTACATGCTAAATTAGCGCGCTTTTATTTTAGAGCCCCACACTAGCGATGTTTGTAATAAAAAAGCCAGACCCTCAAACACCACGCCAGACAGACAGCCGAGATCATCAGCCCCGAGGCCCCTAGCAAGCAAGTAGCAAACTGACGCGCACTAACATGCACGATGGTGCTTGGACTAGCATGAGAACCACCAAACTGCAAGGACCTGCCCCAACCTTTGCAGGCATAGTGACGGGGAGACTGTCTCGAATTCGTTTCCTCCGGGGGTCTCAGTTTCTACGGTTGTCAGTGTTCTCACACGCCTGAAAGCGTAGTCTTTGCTTTCATAACGCCAAAAAAAAAAGGCTGACTCTTTTGAAATTTATATAGCCTTGCACAATTTAAGCTCCCCACCTTCTTTGCCCATTCAGAAATACGGGAGCGCACGCGCGCTAACCCCCCCCCCAGCCGGTCGACCCCACTACAGGAACACTAGGCTTTTGAGGACGAAGGGGGGCGCGCCTTGAGGGACGAAGAGCGGGAAATAGGTGGAGGATTTTGGTAGAGGGAGAGTGCCAGGGCGCTGACATTATTCCGGAAAAAAAAGGAAGTTGAGTAATCAAATATAAAACAAAAAACGCTAAATACTTGATGGAGTGGGTCACGGTCAGGCTCTCCTCTTGGCAGCACCTCTGATGCGAGCACGTCGACTCTATCCAATCCTTCGCCGCCGCTGCTCCGGATCGACGGTGGCAGAGTCGAGAGCTCCTTTTCCTTATGCAGCACCTCTGATGCGGCCGCATGCAAGTCCCTATCTTCTTCCTCGGCGCCGCTCTGAGTCGACGGTGCCAGAGTCGGTGGCCCCTCCACCAATCTCTTGGATTTCGCACCACAACAAGACATGTTTGCACAGCAAGTCTCCTTCTGATCTATACGAAGTGATCAGGAGTGCTGCATCAACCGGCGTCGGCAAGGGCGTGCTAGCTCCACTTTGTTTCTAATTGAGTCACTCTGCTGGCCTGGGTGAGAAGTCAATCTTGAACTATTCCTAGAGTATTTTAATGTATGCTTTACGTATGGGTATGACAAACCAGTCCCAAGTCTTTATTATCGGCGATCGTCATGGTTAGGATAGGATAGGAGGTGGCTCGCCGTCCACAGTGTGACCTGTATCATCGAGCGAACATGTGCAACCACAGAAGTCCTGGACTACCAACCTCTATTTATCTTTCAACTACCATTCATGGTTCTTTTCTTATAGCTCGCTCGTATTAAAATTATATCTTAAATGTAGAGGCTGACAACGAATAATGCGTCTTTCAAATGCTTCACGTGTGGAAGTTGTGGGTGCTAGGTGGTCTCTGGATGAAGCCTAATTTGCCTTTTCAAAAAGGATAAGAGTTAGAGTTGCTGGATCGATCTTCTACTTCGTCTACTTTTCTAAGATTTTTGTGTTTGTTTTTTCACAGTGTCTCACGAGGATTCCAGGAAGTTGAGGATTGCTTCTTCACTTCCCTATTTTTTTAGTAGTTTCGTAGTCTGTCTCTTAGTCTTATCTTCCAAACGGCAACACATTCCAATGTTTATGCAACGAGTAAAACGGTGTACGAAGGTTCTATTTTTTCATCTATTCGATCGAGTATCGAGATGAAGGCAAGTCAACGACATTTGTACGAAAATCCTCCTCAATGTCATACTTCATCGATATCCTCACACAACTCGTTCTCTCGTCATCAAATGCCTTTTTTGCCTACCACTCGAACATGCCTCAAGGATGGTGATGGCCAGCTCGCTCTCTCGTCATCGACGACGTATTTTCCAATGCGACTCGTTTATGTCGGACACAGGATGATATCTTGACAGACGACTCGTCTCACACTGCTTGCATTTACCTAGATATACTCGTCCTTCTGTCGAAATCAAGTATCATCTTCACAAGGTTGAATCTTCCTCACAAGGATGACGGATTTCCTTCCCTCGTCTTCGTATATTCCTCCGTCGTTTTAAGGCTGTTAGAAGCTTCGGGATCATTTTTCCCCTCGTTGATGGTTCTGTAGTAAGTATAAGAACGTTGACGCGTTACCGTTAGATAAGAGCCAGGAAAATACCTACACATGGAATGATGGTCCTTCTCCTGTGTCATCTTGTAACGTCTAACGCGGCACTTCGTCTTCATCTTTCTCCCACAAGTACATTGAAACTCAGAAGTTCTTCAGATTCTTGGAGGTCTTGGAGAAGCAAAAGAGGAAGAGAAGTTCTATCAAATCATACATAATACTGTTTAGCTTTAGTCACAGTCACCAAGAAGTACTCAGGATTGATGTTGACTTCTTCGTTGTTGATTGTTCTAACTTCTACTTTTTTTAATTTTGTTGTTTCTACTAGAACTAGTAGACTTTGAAGATCATTTGTTGTTGTCTCAAATATATTTTCTAAGAGATGCATGATATTCGTGCTGTAGCAATTCATAGATAGTTTTTTGAAGTAATCATTATTGATGCTTGCTGCAGCGGCACTTCTTCCACTTGTTTTGTGATGCATAATTTCTGTTCAACTTGTTCAACATCACAATAATTGATCAAGAATCATAGCCCTTTTTAATACTTGCAGTTATTAGTACGGCTGATGGAGTTCATTTTCATTGTTTCTCGGATACGTTTATTTAAGGATGTCAGGAGAGTCGTCCAATGTCGAAAAGACTAGCTCAAATAAATACAAGTTCTCAATCACTACAACCACATCATAGCACTTTACTCACCGAAGAAGATGAGGATCATACAACTCTGCTGCATACATTCTTGACTTCAACCCAAAAAAAAAAGTTTACTTTCTTGCACGTTCAACTTTTACAGTTCATATTTGCTTGTCATTGTCTATTCTAGCGGTTAGAGAGTCGACGTCGACCCTTCATCATCATGGCAGTCTCCTCTATTGATGGTATCGGAAAGAGGTAGTGAATAACAAAAAACGTTGTAGTGCATTGATGTGAACAATGGAGGGAATGGATGTTCCCGAAGGATGAAGTACTTGTTAACCTTAACATATAGTACAGAATCTATTCCAATATAATTGAGTCCTCTATTATTACATATCATCAACATCTACATCATGCATGAAAATACTAGAGTTAATAGTTACTACTTACTGTCCTCTTTCTCTTTCATCTTCTAGACAATTCTAATCCCACTACATTGCAAAGCAGCAGTGTCCATGACTCGAAGAGTCATCTGTGCGACTCGAAGATTTACATTTATCTGTGAAAAGAGAACGCCACAAGTAACGAGAGCCGCGAAGTGACGCAACACTGGCACTCCCGCTGACGTGACCACCATTGTCGACAGAACCATACTCATTGCTAACAGCGTAGGAAGAAAATGCTGTCCAGAACTAGAAGAAGTGGTATTTGTTACATTTGTTACAGTACCAGTACTAGTTGTATGGGCCTTTCCACTTCCAGATCCAGTTGCTGTACTATTGCTACAAGCAGAGGCCGCGAGAAGAAGGGAGATGAGTGCAGCAAGGACCACAAACGCATTGGTAGAAGTGTCCAAAATTACCACTGCGACTCCCAAAACCTGCACTGCAGTAAGAATGGGCACCAACAAATCGGTTGTTATCTTTCCGAGTTGTAGTTGATTAAGTTGCTGTTGTCCTTGAGAAAAATGGATTTTCTTTTTCAGTCCGTTCACCTGCGGACCAGCGACATCTTCAAGCTCATCAACGACCGCCGAAGCATGGTAAATCCGACCCAGGCTGTTCTTCATACAACTATGTCCTTCTTTCATGAAAAACGTGGCCAGTACTGTGTGCCAGAAGCAGGCAAAGGAGAACAAGACCACCACTACCCAAAACACGTGCTCGAGGAGATAGGTTCGCAAATCACGACTCGTCTCTGACAGTGGAGTAATTGAAGACTTTTGAGGTTTGAAGAATTTCACGATTTCGTGAACTTCACCCGATGAGGAGGAAGATGTTGAGGAAGAAGATATCGACGACGACGAGGCTGTTGTTCTTCCGGAACTGTGCTGGTTGTCTTCTTCCTGCAAGGTCGCCTTTGCCCATTGTCTTAATCGTTGATCTACTTCTGCCACGGCTTCTGCCTCTGTCCACTCTACGCTGAAATGGAATCTGGATGCTGCCACAATGTAATCTGTGAACATTACTCCAGAGGGCTCCACCCTACGTTGCTCGCGGAAGAGGACATCGGATCCGTATTTCTCGGAATATTCAGGACGTTGGATAAACGCCTTCACTTGCGTACCGAAATTAGAGCTCACCTTTATCCATGTCCATGCTTCCTGAAGACTATCACGGTTCATCACGAGATCGAGATCTTACTTTTACTTTATCATCAAATAAAAGTAAAAAGGGAGTCTCGTCCAAGAAGATGCTTGTTCTGAACAGCGACTAGGGAGATGAGCCTTAACAAAAGTTGCCGGAGTGAGGAGCTCACTGTCCTTGATATTTTCTCGCTGAGCATACTCGCGGAACGCTTGATACCAAGATCGAGACGTCATTGAGATCGTATTGGTTGTACTCGGGTTTCCGCCAATGACAACGTGTTGGAGGTCAGAGACAAGCTTGTCCGGCGACCACGAAGACGAAAAAGCTCCATGAACATCATGATGACCGTACACGACAGTGTAATACCACGTCTCCTTGTTGTAGTGATGTCTCAGTTGCGGAGAGAGAAGAGGATACTTCTCGCGGAAACGAAGGTCTATAACGGTCTCGACAAAGGATCGCGCCACGCGGTCACCTCCTTCAGGAAGAAAGTCCAAAAATCTTAGACGAAGACGTTGATGTGGGTGATAGACGTTGTGGGTGCTGTCAAGGATTGATTTTTTGGAAGGAGCACTGTAGGTTTGTCTTTGTCCTCCGTTGAAAAATGAATGCAGAATTAAAAGCTATGATTGCCATAACATTTGTGAGCCCGATCCGTGTCGTCCGTCTACGCTCTGATACTTCCCGAGTCCCAAAAGAGATGCTACTGAGAGACCACCGAAAGCGCAGAACAGCAAGACATTAAAAGCGAGAGAAAGAAGCCGACGGCCTCCAGAATTGTTTATCTTCTCCATCCCCAACTCCATACCCTCCACAACACCTAAATTTTCGTCTTCTGCCAAGACTCCACCTTTTTCAACGTCGAGCATTTCCCTTCCTTCTCCTGGTTGGTCATCTGTGGGTGTGGTCTCTACTCCCTTCTTGGATGCATTACTTTTTTTACTTGTTGTTTTGCCATCCTCGTCAAGAGTATTTGAGTAGTGCGTCAGCGCCGCTCCGCTAGTGGTCGCAACAGTACTCGTTGAACAGGATGTAATTGCATGCGAACATTCAGAGGTCGTTGTCTCTAGATCCTCTACTGCAGTCGGTGAGGCGTGGACTTGTTGACCATCTTGGCCATTGACGAAGAGAGGAAGAGGAACGCCAGCATTGTTCGCAGGGGTCGAGATGCACCACAACACTGGAAAGAGGATGTTGAAGAGTAAGATGTGCACGATGAGACCCACTGATAGACAAAGAAGAGCATGCTGCACACCAGGCGCCCCAACGTGCTCGTTTTCGTTGATGTTGACTGCTGCCAGTACGGCAACGAGAAGAAGGGCACGCAAATTCTGCACAAACGACTCCAAATTTTTCCTCATGCTCCACGCCGAGTACGAGTAACCTAATCGACACGTCGCAAGTGAGAAACTGACGAAAGGCAGAATGACGAAGTTGCTCAACCAAACAACTGGAATGTGGAAGTACAGCATCAAAGATGTCCCCACAAACGTAGTCAATCCGGCTTGCGCAATGTTGATGACAATCTTCTGTACACAAGTGCTGCTCCCGACTTCTATTAGAGCTAGTAAGGTACCGCGTTACCCTTAGCGTTAGCATCCCTGGCCGAATCCTGGAGGGCCCTTTTTCAAGTAGAAACGCACATACATACATACATACATACGGACATACATACATACATACATACTATGTATTAAGGACAACATACTTGAGCAGTGGCAGCCTTAATTTTACCATTAATAATCTTCTGGACGATTCTTTCTGCATCTCCGTCATGTTCGTCATCGTGGTTTCATCTTCTTCGCCTTCCTCCATCTTCATCATGGTCGTTGTCACACCTGCTTGACCTTCTTCTTGCATCTTTGTATTCGTATTGCTAGTTACAGTCGTCGCGCCCATCGCAGAGGTGGAACAAGAACTAGATGACGTTGTTGTAGCATTTCTACCGGCATTTACCCTTGTTGTCCCCCTTGATGCTCCCATAAGCCTTTTCCCGAAGAGCCTCCACTTCACCATGACAACAAGAAGCATCAAAACGACGACCACTAGAGTCGCACCAAAGATCAAGGCCGTTGTCCACGTGGCTGTCCGTAGGGATTCCTCGAAGCTCAGATCCACACTGGATCCGCTGGAGAAGAAAAGCAGACGATAACCGGTACCGGCGCAGTGCGTTTCAGCAGTTTAGAGAGAGGATGCGATGGGACAACTACGATCGCGATGGGATGACGATGGAGGGATGGGATGACGATGGAGGGAGGGGATGACGATGGAGCAGGGATGGGATGACGATGGAGGGATGGGATGGCCATGGAGGGATGGGATGACGATGGAGGGATGGGATGACCATGGAGGGATCGGATGACGATGGCGGGATGGGATGACGATGGAGGGATGGGATGACGATGGGAGAAGAGGATCATCATCATCATCATCATCAAGCGCCTCTGATCGATGGTCATTCTTTGATACCACTGTTGACGATTAAGATTTATTGTTATTATCAGTTTCAGCATTGATTCATCTAATACTTCGCCGAGTAGATGATTGTCATGAGCATGACCCAACATGTGGTCCGATGATATAAACACATTCACACAGTACCAATTATATGGATAGAAGTCGTCTACATAGATTTTCTCTTTTTCACAGTACTAAATAAAATGAAGAAAACAATATGGATCAACATAATGATAAAAGTAAGTCTCGTACGATAAAAAAACTCCTTCCTCCATTTTTTTCGTAAGCAATCACAGCCATGTGGCGCAGCCACTCCTTTTCCCATTCACGCAGGATCAACTCCGCATCGGAAGTCTGTTTTACAACCATGTCTTCTGCCTCCTCCAGAAAGAAATCCATCACCAGCGCTTCTGCGGACTGCTCTACTTTATCAAAACCGAGCATGACTGAAGGACGGTGTACATGTACTGCAGCAGCTGCTTTCGTACTAGTTTGCGACTGCCAAGATTGATGCCCATACGCGGGAAAGGTGTACTCATTGGGTAGCGTGTCCACGGTTGCCGATTCAGAGAGGTCAAAGCGGTACTTATCGAAGTTCCAGAAGCGTAAAAGATGATCTTCACCCAGGTCGCAAAGAACCTTTTTAGACGACGTGGCGGCGTCCCCTTCAGCGTGAGCGTCAGCATCGTCCTCTGCTTTGACGTAGTTTGGTAAACAAACATCGGGGAATTAGAACCGTAGTTTGGTTGTAAACAAACATGAAGATCGGGGAATAATTAGAAGAGTAGTTATAGTCTGGTGAAGAACAAAGATCTGTCACTAAATTAGAAGAGTAGTTCGGTTGTAAACAAACATTACCGGGGAACTAGAAGAAGAAGGACAAGAGTTTCAAAATTTTCAGTTTTGAAGACACTGACTTAGACTTTCAGTAACTTGGGATCCGGTAGTTTGCGTCTAGATCAAAATAAATACTGAAGATCTTCCTCCTAGTCGTCGATTACTACTAAGTAAAGGAGAATTCATAGACATAGCCTTTCCATAGACGGCTTGCAGGTACTTACTTAATTGGCACAGAAACTTTTCCTTACAGAGAGTTATAAAAACTGAAGATACTAACTACTTATCATCTTCAATACTATCAGAAGCCGTAAGTAAATCGGATTTTGTTTGTGTTGGTCCGAAAAGTTGTCGTGGTCTCGTAGACATGCCACATGATGTCTAAAGCCGATTTGGTCAAGACATTCTTGCCGGATTCCGCAGTAGTTGTGAGAATGACCTGAGCTAGTCTTGCTCCTCCTCGTTTTCGGGTCTGAGACGTCGTCGTCGCTTCAGGGGACACCACTCGTCCATTCGTCACCAAGATCTTCTCCAAATCATTCATCCTATTCCCAGTATTAGTGCCAAGCATCAACGTCGCATAGTGAGCTGCACGCGCCACCTCAGCTTTATTCACTCCCAAATCCTTCTCCTGATCATGAAACAGGGACAATGTGGTCGGGGAAAGCGTCCGCGACGTAACTGCAAGTTCTGTCGCGAGAAGTGCTGGAGAAGAGCCTCCAGAAGTAGGAGAGGAAGAACCTCCAGAAGTAGGAGAGGAAGAAAGTGCAGCTGTTCTTGCGCCTCCTCGAGAGGGAAAAGCTGAACTCGATGTTGACATTTCTCCTCCTGCTGCTGTCGTATTCTTCAAAAAAAGCGGCGTGCCCAATAACCATGGAGACTGGCCGTTCAGGATCGTACTAGGATTAGACGTTGTCTACTTTTGAGATTGAGCATCTTGGAAGCCATGATTTTCCCTTGCCAGGTCCGTCTTGCCAAGATGCTTCGTAGCAACTATCACAGGGTACTATAGGTAGGAACATGAACATGAACATCAATATCTTCATGAGTAAGCCTTAATAGAAGGATCATAGCCTGCTGTATCAACACCAAGAACATGATTATAACCTGATCCACCTCCCCCAAGTGACTTGCTGGGAAGTCCATTAAACAAGTATGAGAATCCGCGAGTCTCATCGCGCCACTGCCACAGGTACGCAGGAAGGAAACCCACAAGGAGGATCCCCAGGTTTGCCATGACGACAATAATCCAAATCATCCCGTCCCAGGTTCTTGTGGGAGAATTGTGGCAGTGAATGCTTCCACTCATTGAGAATGTCGATAGGGGAAAGTCGTTCCCCTTCTTTGGGCCCTTCTTACTTGGGTGGACCGACATCATCCCCGCCTAATTTGCTTTCTCAATGAGTGGCATCATACGGGGAAGAACTTCTTGCAATATTGTTCGGCTCGTCCATGACGATTGCTTTTGGTCGAGAAGTCGTAGTCATTTGGCTACGCGGAAAGTGTGCCATAGGCACCAGAGATGACGACACTGGAGTGCTCATGGTCTTCGTTCTTTTTCTTGGAAATAAACTACAACTCACATCAAAGATGAAAGCCTCATACTCAGTGTTTCGTTAAAAACGCTTGGCCTTGTTTCTATCCCAAAACAAGCAGGTGGAATATATGAATCATATATAGAACATCAAGATGAACAATTCGATTTCATCTTCCTGCTCAATCAGTTGTAAAAACGAAACCGTGTACTATACCGAAGACACATAGGATGGAGGACCGACCACGTTCGTGCAATGTATTAAAATCTATAGAGCTTTAGCTTTTTGCTCCTCTTCAAGCATGAGATAAAGACGTCCACTTGCTATTCTCATTATACACACGACCTGATGCAGTTGTATACCGAAGTCTTCCAACAAGCCAAGCGATTTTCGAAGTACGATGGAAGACATACTCTCGAAAGCTGCACTTTTTTTCTAAAAGAACGATGATGGCAAACCGAAACGATCACAAGCTCTCTTGTTAATCTGAGGAGTAAAACGATTATCTTTGCTTGATTTTTTTCCAAAGTCTGCGGCCAAAGGGCCAAAGCACCTGCAGAAAGACATGCTGTCAGCATTCGCCCTCTTCCTTTCCTACTACGGGAGCGGAGATGAAAGAGAACTCAGCCAACAAGATGACTGCTCGTCAGACACGGCTCTCAATCCACAAGAGAACCAGAGAAAGAGCACGATCTCCATCTCTACAAGACCTAGATCCATATACTTGTTCACATAGAGCGCAATTACGTTTTCACGAGCATCAGAATACCAGGGAAAGGAACAAACACACATGATACTGATAGCCTACAACGAATTTATATAAAAGAATCATCTTTCACGTTATCAGACAAAAGATGTAGAATATACGCCTACGTTTCCGTTTGGCAGACATGCAAAAAACTCAAGTGTGAGTGGATATATGGATTTTCATGTAAGTATATACTTATGCCTCTTGGACAACACCATATGATATGCTCTCGCTGTGGTTCCAGTTCACAAACCGGCGGCAGGCGGAGCTTAGTGCTCCTCTATCATTCTACTCGCTACGAACCCGCCGATTTTAAAATGATCAAGAAACTAGGAGGCTGAGGGAATGACTACTCGACCACCAGAAGGATCCTCTTGTTCCGCGCACGTGTCGACCTCTCCCAGGATAGCACCCAGTCACTCCAGAAAGCATCATAGATATAAAAATAAGCATAACTAGTTACTAATATTGATAGATTATGATTGGTTGCATACTAGTACAGCCGGAGCAATAGAAACTAGACAGGACAGAAGTCTCGTGTATACATACATGCAACTTCTAGTTGTACCAAGGAGGCTTTTAGCATGTAACTCTGTTAATACTCCAGCCAAACTACACCTATACTTTTGTAGAAGTCGAAATGTGCCGACTGTAATCAACTGACAGTGGGCCCCCAGCTTTTGAATTGAATTAATGGGCGATAAAAAGCCACTTTTTCGAGGATTGGGGATTTCAATTTGACATTTGAAGTCTAAAGCTAGCCATTATCTACTTACCTATGCTGCCCTGCTAGTATTCGTATGCTGCCCTGACACAATAGAGGTAGGACTCTCATGATTCGTAGCAATGACTGCCTCACTTTCGATTGCAATGATGAAGTCTCAGAGATAGAGATGCTTGGGTACTCATTTCTATTGTTACTGTTACTCCACGATAAGGTAAGGAACATTGAACATCCAGAATTTGAATTGAGTTCATAGGTCATAAAAAGCCATTTTTTCGAGGATTGGCGTTCTTTCAATTTGAATTCTCCATCTATGAAACTTGGAACGCATGCACAGTTCCAACAGTATCACCGTACCAAGCCAAAAACAGACTAGACCTAAGTAGCAACGTCTACGATTATGATGATGATGACGATCATGATGGTGATGATGATGATCATAGTGACGATGCTGATGATTATGCTATTCTACTATTGAAACGATGCAGAACTACCACAGTTCCTGGTCGTCTTTTTGCTCCCTTTCAAATAATGGCTGAACCCCGATAAGAAAACCGATCTAACCGATGTGGATAGGACTGGAAACTCAAAGCCCACATTAGATTTCTAGCCAACGTCACTAAGAATGTGGATTCACTCGCCTCCTTAACGCACATACAAGCACTCAACTCCTCCTCTACGTAATCGCTTGCCTTCTTAACGCACATACAAGCACTCAACTCCTCCTCTACGTAATCGCTTGCCTTCTTAACGCAGATACAAGCACTCAATTCCTCCTCTACGTAATCCGTTGCCTTCTTAACGCAGATACAAGCACTCAATTCCTCCTCTACGTAATCCGTTGCCTTCTTAACGCACATACAAGCGCGACTACCTCCTCTCGATCATAAGAAGAAGAAAACTGCCCATCCACGTACTTAGCCAGAAGAGAGAGCTCCTGATGGGCATCTTCTAGCATCCTCCTGTCAGCGGCGCCCGCCGCCACCAGGCACTCTTCGCCTGTTAAACTTTCCAGCTTTCTTTTCCATGTGCTCAACCACATTCAGAAATATTCTGGGCAGAGAAAGATGTTTCAGAGTCGGGGTAGAGGGCAGAGGTTTTCTTTGTATTTGGTTGAACTTGGATTTAGATTTGGATTTGGTTTCGACATCATCATACGTAGTCGTAGGAGTGCGATGCATTTGAGTCGACATAACATATAAGGCCGAATCATCTTTGATGTTATTCACGTATCATTTGATACTAGAAAGCGTCTCTGTAGTGGGTGTGGATGTAATAGTAAATCGGAGCAGCCAGTGCATTTGCTAGCACTACTAAGGTGATCCTGTGGCTAGTAATAGTATGACGACATGCTATAATTTTGCAACCATGGTAGATGTTGGAAGTTTATGACATTAACTGGTCCGGCGTCTGTGCATATTCGTGTATCTAGATGAGTCAATTTCTGCCGTTGCTCGTGTGGTAGACCTCTGGCAGAGACATGAACACGATAGATTAGATTGTGCTCTATTTGTTGAAGACGATGAAGACCTACCGGCCAGTAGTACCTCGTCTACAATTACTACTTGTTACTTCAAGTACTACGCTGTTCTCACATACTAAAACTGAGACTACGACGTGGTCGCTGTCGGACTGCGACTGCTTAATGTGGAGTACAAACAATGCTTCTTTCTCTCTACATATGACATTGATAATGACAACTCTAGCTCTCGACGTGATAATACTTCTACTTTGACTTACTTGGTGGCTGATGTACGTAATGATAACATGCCCACAACCGTAATGACAACATACCCACAACATACTGGTGTGTGCTTCTACATCTACTTTTACTTATACTTTACTTGATGTACAGGTACGTAATGACAACATGCCAACAAGATACTTGTGTAGTGAAGGCCCATCTCTAGGTCCTGTCTTTTCGAGAGGATGCTTCTTTTCGAGTAATCTCGGTCCTAATGCCTGCACAAGAATGAACGAGCCAGAGCTTGCGGCTAATCGTTTCAAACCTCGAAAGAGACGAGTCTGCACCTGATCTGCTACTCCCTGCTACAGATGTGAACCTCGCTGCCCCGCCAAGTATACCACTAATGTGTGCCTTCACTAGAGGAGTGACAATGAGCCATCTGGTGCTCCTAGTATCTCTGTTATCCCATCTCTGTTGTACCTCTAGAGAAATGAACCTGCTCTATTAATGAGATTATTCATGCTTCCCATTCCGAGCGTACTGATTGCTCCGCTATTGACCGTCGCATGACTGCCCATGCCCACAACTCCTGCTGATCCAGCTCCGTCTTAGAGGTTCTACGCGAGTCACCCACTACAGACACTACTATATCCCTGCGCCTCTACCTAGTTGTAATTAAGTAGTCGGTGCACGGCCAACAACTAGCAGGGTACACTTATTTGGTTCAAGGAAATCGAAATACAACCACGCTGAAGTTGAACAGTGTTCAGCAATATCAGTTCTCTGAGTATTGACGAAAGCTATTTACTTTGCACTGAATTATCGGTCAGGTAGAGAATAAAAGTTGAGCATGTAGTCGATGTTACGCAGCACAAGCATTTACATGAAAATTCGGAGATGTTACTTCTAGGAAAGAGAAGCAGTTTTTCAGATCACAAATGTAACTTCTAGGGAGATGCAGACACTGTTCGGCTACTTCTTGCTATTTAGATGCCAGCAACTGCTAGTGCCACACCCTCAAGCCTTAAATCTCCTTTGCCTCAGCAACTGCGTCGAAGGTCACGATTTTTTTCTCCTTGATCGTGAAGAAGGCATCGTGACACGATATCAGCTTCCTCCATTCGTGACTGACAGTGAATAGATTAGAGATTTGATTTTGAACCAATGCTCAATGTCTGGAACAGAAATCTCGAAAGTTCCAAGTTTGAAATTTCGAATGAAATTCCATTTTTCCTGAACAATCCTCGAAAAAAATTCAATTTATCGACTTTAGTTCAAATTCATTTCCTGAGGGCGAGCTTTTCTCCCAATCATGGAAGTGGTTGGAAACTGAGCTTCATCATCTGTACAGCAGAAACATACTACGAACCAACATCAACAGTATGCGCTTCATCGTCTTACTGTTGCCTTTTGTACTATTCTCCATTCGTGAGGTTATGGATAGTATGAATTATAAAAGTGTCTTCACATCACCCCTTATCCTCATAATGTTCTACCATATAGCTCTACTAGCCAATCGGTATGGAGAGGCTAGGCTAGGTTATGTAGCTTGTCTACAGCTTCGGTTAGGTATAGTCCCGGCGGTATGATTATCTTCAAAAAAGTTCCCATCATAATCAGCGTTGTTCGGGCCGTGGGGTGCTGAACAAGCTCCTGGTTTAACAGCTCGTATATCCATCGTTGGTTTTCGTCGGACAGATGGACCAGGGCCTCGTCTAGTAGCAGTACTCGGGGTTTGTTAGCGATGGCCCACCAAGATCACGCTACTCATTTCACGCTAGCGCTCATCCATCGATGACCTTGCGGTTTTCAAGTTCAACAACGTGATTATGATCCTTACTCAATTCAGCTATTCAGAGCAGTATTAAGGACAACTTCTGGCGGGTTACTTCTATCTGATTCTACTTAGTTCATACTTCCTATACCTACACCCAGTACCGAGCCAATCCAATCTTGGTACAACATGCTCTAAAACAGTAAGGTCGTGGAAGGCTCTAGTCTTCTTCGTGGCCCTGCCTCTCTTCTGTAGGAAAACACTTCTTCTACTTCTAAGACTCTGAAAATCTCGACTTACTCAAGTTAGTAAGTAGATGCTTTTGCTTTTGCTTTTGATGCTATTGCTAGACTTCTGAAATCCATAAGTTTGGCCAGCAAGCAGTGCGCAACCATCAGACGTTGTAATTCCCCTCCGGAGAGAACTTGCGCGACATCCACAGCAGTATCCAGACCAATACTTGAATCTTAGAGAGAGAGAGATACGATGCAACTCATGTATTGATGCAGTGCTGTGACACTGCCTCCAACAAAATAAACGTCGAATCACTTTCACTTTGAGAGAAATAACCACTCCTACAGAAAAAGACAGCTGAAAGATATGCTGCACGAAGTAATGCAGATGACCATGACGCCATGCAATGTAATTGCCACCGACCTTGTGGTCTCAGAGTCTGTCACTGTTGCTGTACCTGTAGTCTCTTTCAAAAATAACAACATCTGCTGAGAGCAACCTATGCCCTCACTGTCATTTTCAATAACAACATATGCTACAACTTCTACTTCTTCTCAATCTCATCCCCTCTATGAAATTCGTCTTCGCCATAATTTTCCTGTTCATCCATGAAATCTGTCGGTGATCTTGCAGCTCCTCCACTGAAAGAATCGTCATAGTTGTAGCCTCCAGCGCCACTGTTGCTGGCTCCGCCGACCAAAAACTCTTCGTCATCATCGACGTAGTCCCGCAATTCCGCTTCAGAATTCATTGCGACGCCTCTAGAAGCATTGGTGCTTGACTTAGAAAGGGACAGCGAAGCAACATCAAATTCATAAGTAATGGTAAACATCAACACGCATCGTGATGATTGAATATTCTGCAGCATCTGCTCTACATACTCATACAAGCTATTCATCGTTGCATTGAGAGAAAACTCAACAAACTCCAACGCTAATTCTAATTGTACAGCTACAGCTAGAGCTACGACCAATATAGATCGCAAGAGAGAGAAGTGTTGCTCTTAACATTGGAAGAGCCTCCTGCTCCCCCTCCGCTGTTTCCCCCATACGTCGAGGAACTAGTAGAAGAAGACGCTTCTTTGGCTTTGCGCTTGCCTTCCAGACTGAGTCGTACTTTCTTCAACGCCGTATAAATTTCCCGGTCAGAATAGGCCGAGCTAGAATCTGGAAAACAAATTGCTTCTCGGAAGGTCATAGGATACGGCAAGCCAGGTCCTCTTTGAGGTATCAAGTAGGGCAAACGCTGATGCTCATTTTGCAAATCGCGTCTCCTGGATGCTGTATTCAATTTCGAATTCGATGTCGTAGATCTACATCCTTTCGTAGGGGTTTTTATTAGACATAGAGCAAATGGCGCACTTCTTCTTCTTCTTCTTCTTCTGCAAACTAGATCTAGATGTTCATCCATGAATTTGATCTTTACTCTCAATGAAACTCGAACTCACGCTGAAACAAATTCGAAAACCCCTTGAAAGCAAACGGAGATGGTCTGATAGAGATGATGGATGATAGTACCTATACATTCACTTTCACAAGCTGTCTGGAAAGAAAATGAAAAACTACAGAGTACAGCATCGCACGCAAGAAGACACAAGAACACTCTTACAACTTCTTTCGCGAACTCATGAGTAATCATGAATCCTTTCTACACCTGCCTCTCTACAACGATCAAAGCCAAACCAAAAGCCGTAAATCTAAGTCATGCTTGTCGTCTTCATCTTCGCTTTCTGCTTCTGCCAGGCTTTTCGGAAACAGCTTTAATCCCTCCGTCGCAGAGTACCGAAACACGAAATCCAAGATTCTTGCGAGTTTTAGAGCTTCGACGTAACGGTAACAAAATTCATCTTCTTAGGAAGTTAATTAACGTTAAGTATCCTTAAAATATGTTTGACGCGTTTGCGTTCTCTTGAAAACTTTTTAGGTGGAGGAGAGGATGACGGTCACCAGCCTTAAGGGTTCCTTCTTTGGCTTCAGACTGAGACTTGGCTTATTTTCCAACTCGAAGGATCCACCATATCCACCTGGTCTTGTGCTCAAAGTACCAAAATCAACGTCGACAGGGTTCCCTTGATGTTTTCTTGTTGGAGATGCTCCTCCACCACAGGCATCCACTCTCACAAATGGCCAAACACCTGCTAACGTTCTCAGCAGAGTGGACTTACCGGTGCCCTCGGGACCGCACAAGAGAATCCGTTGTCCCCGCGTCGCTTCTTCAACTTAGCGAGGACAATTTGACTTCACATCTAAGACAACTACAGTTGAGGGAGTCCAGAATATGATAAGAAGAAACGCTAGAATCGTCTGTCCGCTAGGGGAGTCACTAAAAACACTGTGAGGGGAATCTTCACCAGCTCAAGCTCATTTTCATTATTATTATTCGAAGAACTGAAATAAGCGAGTAACTACTTAATAAAGGAAGAGTAGCCCTGTCAAAAAAAAAAGGAAGAGTAGCCCTGTAACTACTGAAAATAGAGGCGAGTAACTACTTAAACAAGGAAGACGAGTAGCCTTGATCTTAAGCTACCTCCCTTATTTCAGTCAGTAACTCGGTTATTATTAGCCTTAACCGAGAAAATTGTTCAGTTGTACATTCTCTGCTATCGTCTGTCCGCTAGGCAGGAGTACTGTGACCGCCGCTCCTTGCTCAAGACACCTGACTCTGCGCAAGATTAACTCACGTCGTCTAGCCGCCTCATACAAAGCAGGATCGATCGAATACGGATCACCTTCGGTCAGCGTCCTCTTAGAGGAGCTACAGCACCTGTACATAAACAACATGCACATGGCAAGGTTCTTCGCAATATTTATCGTCTGACAACGACTTCTGCTACCAGCTGTAGCTGTAGTTGTACTAGCATGTTGCATTAAAAAAAAACAAACAACAACAAGCGACCATTTGATGTAAGTAGTTCTTTGCACACAAGAGCTCGAGTTCGACAACCATAGCAGGATTCACTATTGACGATGAAATTGATGTGAAGGAAGATAAGTAAGGACACAATTTCGTGAAAATTGATATCCTTTTCCCCTGCGTGTCTATTCCTGCTACTCTTTATCAGTACATGATCTACATAATGAAAACTCAAATCAGTAACACGACTACCTAGTTGTACTATCCAAAGTCGAGTTTTTGAAGTTGTCTTCTTAACCTTCATCTTGTCTCCGTTGTTATCATCGTTTTCCAAACCCATGTTTTTATATGCGTCCATGCAGACTACGGTTGCGGCACTCGTACTGGTCAACAATGGATCCTTGATGAAGTTCAAGGTCGTTCGTCCTTTATTCATACCATTGTTCGCATTGTTTGAGGAAGAAGAGCAGAATGACGTCTCGGTCTCGTCAATCATCTGTGCTCTCGGATCAGACCACAAATTCGTGGTGTTCTTTCTTTTTCTTAGTTCTCCACTACCTCCAATCCCCGTAGACGGAGTGTAAGCTTGCTCCGTCAGAGATTTCATCTCCACCACCTCATGCTCCTCTAACAATTTGCGTCGAAAGTAGCTCAATCGATCGCAGCAGGCCCTGCTTAGAGCTCAATAAAACGATTCACTTCTTATAAGTACCTGAAGTGGATTATTTCTCCCAGGCTGAAAACAGGAAATAAGACCGGGAGGGATGCAAATGGCTTGTAGAAAGAACGAAGTGATCATGAATTGCATTCTTCAGCCTTAATCTATAGCGCGATAAGTCTTGGTAGCGGCCAACGAAAAAATCGAAGCATTCGCGCACACGATGCAAGGCGAACTCGCACTGCTTGATGTTGCCCAGAGTCACTTCACCCTTGATGAAGTACGGAAGCAGCATAGGTTAGAGGATGCGTGAACTCCCACGTCCTTCTCTTTCTTTAGTCAAAATATTGGAACGCGCCTTAGCAGTTAAGACGGAGCTCTAGATTGAATCTAATTTCTGGAAAATTGCAATCTAGATCTAAATCTACGTGTCTTGAAGATAGTAAGTTCGTATATGAAAGAACATGAAATTGCCTTGAAACGAATGGCCTTAAATGCAGGTAAACATGATCGCCTCGATAGATCCGAACATGTGAAGGAAAATGTCCAGCTGCCTCTCCAGTCGAATCTTGCCCCATGCGAGAACTTTCAACTCCTCAAAGCGTGAGTGTTAGAAGGGGTCACACAAATTATCTCCCATCTTGATGGCGGGATCCCTCAAAAGGATCGACATGATTGACCTTGAGGGATGCCTATGCCTCTACCTTGATACGCCTCACAGGGATAAAATATTCCTTAGATTGATAGAAGGATACGTAGGGAGGACTTAGAGAATGCGAGAGCCTTAAGTATAAAGACGGCGTAGTTGTGCTCTCCCAGCATGCATTGCGGCCAAACGATCAGCCATCGACAAATTCCAACGAAGCTCTGCTCGAAAATTACCATCGAAATTAGAGTGTGGGAGAGAGAGGGTGACGAGTTGTGTGCTTTGTGACGATAGATACTAGCTCGTGAGTAGTATTCTGTAGTAAAAATGAGGAGGAACAACAAGTCAGTTGAGCAGCTACAGTAAGTTGTGAGGTTCTGTATGTGACTCTGACTTCTAGAAATACTCCAAAATCAGCAGCATGGTACTCATACACCTTTGTACATTGCTGGTGTCTAGAACTACTAAAAGCTGTGGTAGACCCTCTAATGCTAGTACATCAATGCTCGTTAAGAGGACATTTGAGACCAGGCACATGCACATCACCTTCAAGGGGGGTTTCAAGCATTTCAATATGACTGCTACAGACACTATCAGAACAGTTCAAACAATGGACCCTCAGGAAATGAATTCGAATAAAAGTAGATAAAACTGAAATTTCTCATTTCTCAAGTTGGAATATTCCAAAATTCAAATTCACATTTAGTTTCAAAAGTTTAGAGAAATGATCCTTTGACTCAGATTGTGACCATGATGTCTCGCTTAGACTTTTACTATCCTCTACAACCGTTGCACTATGACTATCATGTTTACAGTCCCTCTAGCACTGGCATAGAGTATGTTGAGTCTCTAGTGCACTGTGCAACATAGAGGTGTTTTAGCACCAGCATGAGCTACGTTACCTATCTATGTCTATCACTACACTAAGTCTACGATTGAAGCATATAATATGACTTTGTCTGCCTCCTAATGCCATATCTGTACTATAGACGTTACCTCTCTATGTCTATCACTACACTAAGTCTACTCTATGACTTTGACTCCCTCCTAATGCCATATCTGTACTATAGACGTTACCTCTCTATGTCTATCACTACACTAAGTCTACGATTGAAGCATATACTATGACTTTGACTGCCTCCTAATGCCATAATATCTGTACTATAGTTGTATAATCTACACTCTTGCTCACACTGCTGCTATTTCTTTAGGATAGGATAGGAGTAGGCTCACTTATGACGGGGTGAGCGTATAGGCTGTATTTCTTTCAGGACATGCATCAGCATCAATGAGTTTCATCTGTATCTCCATAATGTACCGCTGAATTTGCCAATCCGTTACGGTGAGTTCTCGTCCAACCGACTGGATGCAGAGACTCCCGAGAGCAGCGTACAACAAAGCAAAATAGATCGGCCATCCCGGTAAATAGAACAGTCCGAAAAAGCTCGTAGGAGCGACCGTGAAGAGGATCATTAGAAGAGGAAGGAGGTGGGTAAGAATACAACGATAATGAACATAAACTACTAACCCTATTGCTCATGAGGAAATGGAGTTTGCTACTGTGGAACTTCGCAAATAAGGTGCAGCAACATCCTCCACCAGGATCACTTCTCTTCTTGTTCTGCTGTAGTAGTTTTGCTACCTTCGTTCTAGTTCAAAAAAACGACACCTGCTACCTTCGTTATTGGACACAGATTGTGCGTGGTTGGTACCTTCTCAACTAGTACTACCTAGTTCAAAAATTTCTCATCTGTCCTCAGATCCAGCTGCTCTTGCAGGTTGCACTTGCTTCCTTTCTTCACTAAATGATCAAAGAACTACTTCTACACTTCCTTACTCAGTTCGCTGAGGACGTACACATCACATGTCCATCATCTTCGACTAGTAAGAAACTAAGTACTAATATTTGAACAACTTAAGTAGTTACTCACATTTTGATATTCTTTTTGATGATCCCATTCACATTCATCTCACTGCCACGATGAATGGTTCCGGTATTTGGTAACCTGAGTTTGATCCTAAGGGTTCTCTTCTTGTTTTCCCAAGCCATAACATATACGAATACAGCACCACATTCGATAGCGCATCGAAAACGCCGATCGTCAACCCGTAGCTGCTTTCGACGTAGTCGCCGATGTCATCTTGGATGCGCTGATCCGGGTTATCCAAGTCCCGATCTTCACGCAGAGCAAATTCGTAATTACGAGGCACCCAAAGTTTTTCGAAGTACAGCGTTAAATGCTCTCGCCAATGCAGTTTCAGCATCTTCTCGAAGGGTATGAAAGACGGGCAGTGTTGTAGTTGGGGAAGCTGCGGGTAATAGGTGGGTTTGCGGGGAGGAAGTAGTAGGGCGATATGATAGTAGGAGAAGCCGGAGCGAATGATAGTGGCAAGGGCGAAGGTGGAGAGGGAGAGCAAGAGGGTATTGTAGTGGAGACGGAGCAAGTGATGGGAAGGAATATGGAGAACTAGAAGGTTGAGGAGCTACTATTTCAATGTATTGCAAACTGTATCAGAAAGAGACTCTAGAAAGATCAAGAATCAAGGTGTAAGAATGTTGCTAATCTCTAGAATATCTGCCATTTCGTTATCAACTATCACACAAGGACTTAGACTGTATGAAAAAGCACGTTCTCTAGCCTCTACTACAGAGGGCATTCACCATGGTATTAGGACGATGAATGCACTTTCGATTACAAAAGAGATGAAGAGTAGATCGCCAGGAAATGAATTCAAATCGAAAGCGATAAAAAACTATTTTTTCGAGAATTAGAGAATTGAAACTTCAAAAAGTCACATTTTCAACAGTTCACACATTGTTCTGCTAGTTTTCAAACCAATCCTCATAATGTAGAACGAGTAGACCGAGGTCAATACGCGCCCAGTGTGCAGAACCAGCCAGTTGAGAATCAGTGCCTCGAAAACTTCAAGTTGATTAGAGCTCAACTACATGTCTGAGTGCATGTAGATGTACTTGCATTTTGTAGTGTTTCTGATTCTGTTCATCCCCTTGTATGAAACAGTACGTAGTAAGTTAGTACGTATGTTTGAGGTTTCATCCAATTAAGCTAAAAGCCTTAAGTTTCGGATTTTGGTAGAAGTCCCAGAATCGTGCGGTGAAGCTGAAGAATTGAACGTCAATCCATTTCCCGAACCAGTTATGGGACATGAGCATAGCAATATACGCAAGTCCTTTGATGCGGCCAGCATGCTTGAAATAGATGCTGCCAAGCGAAACTGCAGTAGAAAACAGATCTGTGGTCAAACCTCGGAGGGAGTTGAAGGGTTAGAAGGAGTAAGAAGGTGAGACTGAGACGTCGAATGAACATTATTTTGCGTGTCCTTGTAGGTGATACGAAGAATCAGGGGAGGGGGCTATGGTATCATTCGCATTCCATCTCCTGTACGTAGGCCTCTGATATGACTGCTCGTGATAGACCACCGTCGATTCGTATTCTTATTCATCTAGTAGTACTTACATACACATAAAATGCGCACGAGTAATCAATCTAAATGAATCAAGCAAACCACATCAAGGACAAGCATAATCAACGGAGAGATGCGGTCGGTCCAGGGCAATTCCGAAGTCGACGCGTAGCCAGGAATGATGCGCACGTTCGAACAGGATGGCCAACGCGACAGCAACCGGCAAACCTAAGAACAAGACAAGGCGTTCCTCATGCAGCTCAGCCCAAAAGGTGTTCTCCTTCTTAGGTTCGTCCTTCTTCTTATTTGACGCGTTGGAGTTTGCAGAGGGGGCAGCTCCATTTTTAGAGGAGGTTTCAAACGTAGTTGACCTATGTTGTAGGTGAGTCTCGCATATCAATATCTCTCTGCATCTCAATTTTTGCTCTTCTCCGTTGAAAAGATCGTAGATCTGCTCGCAATTAGCATACTATCTTTTTGCTGTCCCCCCTCTTTTTACTCCATACTATCTTTCTACTTGAACAAAAGCAAGAAAAGGTCGTAGGAGTAGGAGCTATCTAGGCTCTGCGACTGAGATCTAGATACGTCGACTTGCAACATCAAGCCTTAACATTCGTAGTTGTTTTGGTAGTTCCTCCTCCAGCTGCACTACCAGTCGCGTTTGACGTATCAACACCTTGCTGTTGTTGATGTTGCTGCTCCTCTGGCAAAGGACCTCCAACGCGAGTTGTCCTGACTGGCAGATGCACATTTTCGACTCGGGTTTCCACTTGAACTGCATATCCACGCGCTGTCCAGAGAACGGAGAGTGTGGTGCAGGACAGAACCAAAAACAAACACCGTGTAGAAGAACGCGGCATCTTGTTGATTTTGACGAGAAGAGGCTGAGGATGCTGAACTACGTTGGGGATTCAAGTTGATTTAGATTTTCTGTATAAGGGACACTTGATGATATGGGTTTTAGTACGTATAGAAGTTTTTATTTGCAATTGTATAAGAGGGGTTGTCGTCCTTGATATAAGTACGTAGTACGTGGCCGTAGTTGGTATGTATGAGTCTGTGGGTGTTATTTGGTGTAACGAGGTTATTAGTGGGTGTATACGTTGTGTTGCATATCTATGGCTATGCTAAGAACTACTAGTTCTTCTTCTTGTTCTTTTGGGTTCCGGTAAATTTGCTGTAGTCATTCACAACCTTGAAGTTTCTAAGAACTGCATTTTTTGAGTTTAGAAAAAAACGTATATGAGAACAAGATCAAGAGTGGTATCGCCAAAAGTTACTAACTCTGATCAGTCTGAGCAAAAAACGAAAAGCATATCTGTAGTATGCATGCAAGGCGATCATCAAAGGGCTTCACGACATGCCAAGATCAATACAAACCTGGTCATATGGTGAATTGGTTTCAAATAGACAAGTGAGAGTACACCTATCGTCAGTACTAGGTGAAATCATCGATGGCGACGAGGCAGTGTGGATACTCTTTCGAAGGCTCTGTCCGAGGAAAGTTCGAAACTCGAGAAGACCGATGAAGAAGTGCGTGATGCACGGATCCTAACCGATTCCTTGTAGCACAGACTGCAGAGACTATCCATCGAGAGGACGAGTGAGAAGCATCTTCTTCTCTACTAAGGTTTTTCTGTTCGTTGTCTTCGTCTTGTAGCTTCTGCTAGAACTTTACTGTATTTCTACTTCTACTGTAGTTGAATCGATTCGAACCCTTGAGACCGATCTTGCGAATCTTCTGGTGAAATTCACGTCTATCCACATACGAACCTTCGAGGACGACTTCGATTACGAGCTGCAATACTAGCAGCGAAAGTGCACGCCACGACCTCGACTACATTTCATTCTGTGCGTCTTCGATACTATAATTGTCAACGATAGAGACAGTCGCTAACTTAGACTTGCTGTCGTGTCCCTTGTCCCTTTACGAAGGGAAAATGGTATGTTGAGTATGTGTTGATGAATGTGACAACTGTGTCTTGGTTAATGACTACGAGAAGAGCAAAATAAACTAACAAAAGCTCTCGTTCCTGTTGGGTTGGTTCAGCTACAACATCTTGACAAAGGACTCAGATCAAGCTTCTTTGAAGAATCTAGCAATGGGAAACTGATTAGCCATGGGAAAGGAAACTCTAACTGTTGTATTTTTCTACTGAAGAAATTATTGTCTAGTTGATACGTTATCGTTAAGGCTAAGTTAGATCTTCGGATTCTGACAGCATCGGAAAAGATAAGATTTGTTGAAAAGAGGTGAAACTAACAAATGAAATGACAAACGTTGTTCTATTCGGTGTTGAAAGTTAGGCTAACTGTGTGATCGTGACAAGGACTTATTTTTGACATCCATCTACATGTTCTAAAAATGGTATAACGCAAATGCTGTAATAGCAAGTTTCATCCTTAAATATTTTTTGGGTCGTTGATCGTTAGTTATGGGGTTCCCATCTTCAAGTAAGTGAACAAGGTACTTCTAATTTGGTTTTGGGTGTGACTGTGAACATCAAAATACCAAGGTCATTCAAAGATCCTTCAAAGTCGTTCTTACACATACTCCCTCAACCATTTTCTCCTTCGGCACATGGCTTCCCACGTGTCAACCGGACTCCAGAGATTCGAGCCAAAATGAGCCGCATATTGCCAGCCATCCGGGTCCGTGGTACCTCCGACGCCATTTATTAGAGCTAGTGGTAGTAGTAGAAGTAGTAGTAGTAAACCCAATGCAGCAGAGGCATTTAAAGAACAATTTCAATTCGAATTCTTTTCTTTCGTACATAAACCTTTCTCCCAATCCTACGAAGGAAATAGGGAAATAGTGCAATTGACTTATCTATTGAACCGTAAATTTGGAGCCTCCAGGTCCTCGTAGTAATCTACCACGTATTGCCACTCTGTCCTTGGAATCCACAGTTTGCCGAAATCTAGAGGCGGGGTCAAACTTCGCTGAATCTCTCGCCTAGTGAGGTATTAGAGCTCATCCTAATCCATCTCAAGATGCATCCTGGGTAAGAGAGTGCATCCTGGACGAGGGTGCCACTTCACCTCGATCCATCTCAAGATAGTGCATCCACCTGGAGGGTGCTTTTTCACCTTGAAAAACAGACTCTCTCCTAGGTTGACTTCTCTACTGAAGATGGATCATTAGGGGATGAGGCCTTAAAGGTATTTGCTGATATTTGGATGCTTTCGGCCATTCGCGTCGATCCAGCGCCACTGTTCGCGGACCTCACAAGGCAGAAAGGGAGAGCCAAAATCGGTCAGATTCGTACGCTCTAACTCATAGACAACGACTTCACGAATAAAGGTAGTGGTGTCGACACTGGCGTTTTTGTTGTCTTTATTGGCAGTGTCTTCGTCTTGACCAGAGGCTGGAGCGCTGCGAGGATTAGAGGAGATATGATTTCACGATGACTACACGACTTAGACTGCCTGGCTACTTACAAGTAGAGATTAAAAGTCGTATGTTTTTGTTGGAGATCATCACTCTACTCATCGAGCCCAATCGTGTATAGGCCGCTGCAAGAGAGTCTTTCAACTTTCACTTTGGTCTTGAAGGTATATAACATTAGAGTTTGTAGTTTCTCGATGACTAAGACTGACAAACACTCTTCACATAACATTTGCAACGAAGAGTGTCGGAGCCAAGAGCAACTTCTCATGAAGAACTTCGCGTGTACGTCGCAATTTTTCATCTAACAGCCAACGCAGATAAGCTCCAGTAGAATACTTCGCAGATAGCGCACGCGTCGCAAGAGTTAGAACTACTTGCAGAAATGCAACATCTTGGCGAGCAGCATCTTGGTGCCAAAACCTCTTTTGTTCCTTTCTTCACAAACAGAAACAAGCAAGGCCAAGAACGAACAAGATGCTGCGGAGGGAACTACGATGAAGATTCCTTTCCTCGAGCAGAAGCCTTAAAAGGAGCACACCTACTCGGTCCTCGTAAGGGACCGCGTCTTCTCCGTAGAGGTTGGTAATCAGCTCGGGGACATTCTTCTTGGAAGGCGTACTAGATGCCGAAGCCGGTGCGTTCGTGCCTTTCATATCCCCAGTATCTTTACCTTTGATCCCTCCACCTACTCTAGTTAGAGCAGGTAATTTAATGCATTTTTACATTCCTCAGAACAACTACACTCTTGGCCATTTTTCAACTAGAAAAACAAGAGCCAAAAGGACAAGGGTAGTGCGGGATGTAATTTTTCGGAATAACTAGCCTTAATATAGAGTCCGACAAACAGGTTGCAAGAGCGTAGATGATATTGTCAGGGCAAACACCATTGTGGATGGGAATACGCAAAATCAGTTGCTGACGGCTGCTTTTTGGCACCACGACTTGTGAGGAGGATGAAGTACCTCCACCTGGTTTAAGACTATTTTTGAACCGCATCCCAGAATCTTCGTGCTTGGGAGACCCCTGATGTCGTTCGTCACTATCCTCATGGCCTCCGAAAGCGGCTTGTTGAAGCTGTCTAAACAAGGGAAATCTGCTGGGCTTGCTGGGACTGCTTTCATCTTCAGCATGGGCGTGTGGATGTTGTTGCGCTGGTTGGAGGAATCCTGCTCTAGAGATAGCAGTGTTAGTCGTGGTAGCTGATGTCGTGGTAGCAGCTTTTTTACTAGCAGTAAGAGCAGAAGTAGTACTAGAAGAGCCTCCAGTTGTTCCAAAGCCAAAGAGTTTGTGTTTGACGTTTGTCAACGCTGTTTTAGCCCTCTCTCTTCTTTGTAGAAAAGCGGCATCTGAAAGCGTGATTACGAGTTGTCTCGAGTACCTCCCGTTCCAATGAAATCCCGCATTACTTCGCGACAATTCCGGTAATTTCGCGATGACATTGCGCAAATTTCCTACGATTTCCGCTACTCGCTGTCTTTCATGCTCCTGTTGCTGCTTCTTCTTCCCCTTAGTGGAGGACGTGAATGCAAATTCGTCCGGTGAATCATCTTCATCAAGCAAGTTTTCCATGTTGTGGAGGTCATCTTGGTGTGCTTGCAGATGTTCCTTGTTTTGCAGCCCCATCGTCGACGATGCTTTTCTAGAACTAGACGATGACTGCTCTGAATGTGGGGAGGACAATATTTCCACATCCACGCTTTCAATGTAAAGCGATTCAATCTCAAAGAGAATCCGGTCCACATGCCTGGGCTCCGCTACAACTACTTGATCTGCTACTACTTGATCCAGTTGTACTGCTCTTGTAGTTCCTCCTGTTGTTGGAGTTGTAGCACTAGCAATGATGTTTTGAGTTGTTGTTGTAGTACTAGTACTGGGCGTAGACAAGAAGCCACCAGTTCCTCCACCAGTGCTACCAGAAGCGTTAAAATTGGTGTTCTTCATCGGCGCGAACAACCCGGGGAAAGCTTTTAGGGCGTGAGCTCGCGACTGAACATACGCCAAACCCCTACGGAGGGCAGCGGGCGCAAGAATGTTCTCCATTTGCTGACTACTTGTGGTTGTTTCATCGCCTACATCAACTAGTGCGTTGTGGGTGTGGTCTGCAACCTGCTTTGATGAACTAGAAGAAGAAGCTACTTCCGTGGAAGTCGTAGTGGCGCCAGTTGCACCTCCTACTGCAACATGACCATCACTCCTTGGCAGTAAATACGGTGGCAATACATTGCTGGGATGAGAGCGTAGTAAGTGTCCATACTTGAGAAACAGAAACTCTGATGGCCGTTGGAGTAGGTGCGAACTACGGAGGTCGAACGCGCCTTCTACCGAATAAGAGCCATATTCCTGGTACCCAGACTTCGTAGAAAATTAGAGCTTACGACCCTAATCTCCCATTTTGAAAGTCATCTCGGATCTGTATCCCCTTATGCTTATACATAGTACAGTTCCTCGGAGATGTACTTTCTGGAGATGAACTAGGAGAATTAGCCTTAAGAAAAATAGTTGTAGTTGTTAGAACTGTTGTTCATGTTCATGGTAGTGACTCCACCTGAGGCTGAGCGCTGGTTGTACCCTCTGGTAGTAGCAGTAGTGGTAAAATAAGGGGGATCGCCAAGATATTGACGAGCACTGACAAAATTAAGACCCGAAGAAGAAGAAGTCGTGCTGGCGTTGTTTCCACCTGCACCTCCCCCAAACTGTGCAGAAAAAAACTGTAGCTCGCCTCCACCTCCTTCTTGAGGATGTTGTTCCATGGTACTTGTCCCTTCATCCAGCATCGAGACAAATTGCATACTGTTCGCGCTTGACGATGAAAAACCCGAAGTTGGCGGAACCGAGGACTCCCCCTCTGGTGCTCCACTTGCTATTCTAGCTCTATGCTTTCTCGCACTCCCTGAGGATAAAGTTCGTAGTTGTACGTTCTCTGCGTGCTCTAGGTCTGTAGATCCTTCAGAAGAAGCCTTGGTCGCAGAGGAAGCTCGATGTTCAATTTCAACGTCAGGAGAAGATGAAGATGCAAGCACAGTCTCTTCCAACATTTCGATGTTGCCGTGGTCATCTTTAGGCAAATTCATTTCCAAACTCTCTCCCTCTCCTTCAGGGACCAGAAGACGAGCTCCAGCTCCTTTCTTTTGATCATAGAAGTGTAAGTGGGATGCTTTTTTCTTCAACGCTTCCAAGTCGTCTTCGTCGGAGGTGGATGATGATGGCGCGTTCATCTCTTTGCTATTTTGGTCTTTTAGCGTCGCCTCAGCCGCACTAGACCGTATAATTTCATCTCGACCCTTCGTCCTCATAGAAGTCAGAGCAGTTGTTCCACCACTAGTAGTAGTTCCACTACTATTCATATTCGCTCCACCTGCTCCAGTGAGCGCAGCGGCCCCACCGAGCCTTAGTTTTTCCAGTTGGGACATCAATCGGTCGCTGCCTATATAGGCGAACATGTAGGATACCACATGGTCAAGCAAGCAGTCTTCCAATATTTGCTTAGCATAACGCTCTAAGAACGCCTTTGCTTCAGGAGAGAGTGCCGACGAAATGCCTGGTGCACCACGGTTGCTACGAGGACGACCTCCGCGCTGCCCTTTTTCATTTTCACGTGCGGATGTCTTACCATGCTTGTTCGTTAGGCCATTCCTTCCGATCCCTATGGAGGAACCTCCGTCACTCCTGGATCTCGAAGAGGAACTAGAACTGGCGAGCAGATCCAAATCGCTATCATCTTCACTGCCTCCTTCACTAGTTTCTCCAGCAGATGACAGTTGCCAACCAGGAGATGACGCATGAAGATCGCGTTTTCTTCTATCTGATGTATGATCGTCAAGTGATGTCCTCTCATCATGTTTCTCGCTTTGACTTGTGGGCGCAGTCCTCCCAACCCCGCCCCATCCACCAACAACTGCTCTTTCCCGCTGATTCGCAATGTAGTTGCGCTGATGGTCGCGATATTCTAAACTTTGCCTTCGATCTTCCATTTGGAGCATCTTCATACGCCTCCTTTTCCCCCGTCTACCACCTGTTTGCCCTTTCATAGCCGCTTTCTCCAACTCCTTGCCCACTGGCGCTACCGTCTCCGGGCCAAAGTTTCCAATCGCAGTTACCACGTTCATGAACGTATTTTCGTTTTTGTCCTCGCTGTGGTCCTTTTGATGTCGGTCTTGGCGCTCCGCAGCCAGGTCGTCTGCCCGCACCCTCGTCGCTCGAAACCCTGGTGGTGTGCGAGACAGAATAGCCTTCTGATTGGTACCCCAAGAGGACTTCCTCCTCGTTGCACTGTTCGGGCTTGTTGCGGTCGCTTGTTGTTCTGCTCCTGCTGCGGATGGAGCATTTCTATTTCCATTTTCGATTCGACCTTGACGAGCTTTTTTTTTTCCGCCACGCACACGCAGGAGGTCCATCTTTGCCTTTCCAGACGATCGTGAAGCACGAGCCGTCGCAAACTGGAGATTTCTAGGAGTGGCGCCGTCTTTACCATTAGTATCCGCAGGCAGCTCATCTTCATCATCATCTGAAGAATAAAAATACTCCTTGTCACCTTCTTCGTCTATCGTACTGCCCAAATGCGCGACGAAGGGATCTGCAAACGCTGCCAGCATAGTTCGAATCTCCACTAAATCAACTACCCACGGAAACTCCGTGAACACCATCTTGTGTGGAAACAACACAATCACCCCGATCTTTACTTCCAGGAATTAGAGCTCACAATAACTCACTTTCATCCTGCTCTACGCAGCTGATAGTCTCAGAAGTCAAGGAAGACACTCACCTGAGTCAGAGAGACCAGTACATGCTCTGTGGAAATGAATTATTATGGGCCTTAAAGTAAAGATGAAGGATCTACTTCCACGCCTTCCCCGGTTGAACCTAGTATATTCGACATAGGAGGTGCAATGGTGTCAACAGAAGCACGTGGACCAAGGTGTCGGTCGTCGGCTTCCAGATAGTTGTTATCATTATCTGCAGCTGAACTTCCTCTTCTTCTTGCTGCACCAGTTACCGGATCTCTCTCTGAACTATACACAGATCCAGACGTTCTCGAGAACGCTGTGAGTGTATTCGAGTGTACTGAGTCGGTTCGGTGACGAATCACATTTGTGCCTGTTTTCAGTGGAGTGGGAGATGCTTCTCCTTCTGGCGGTGGTCCACGGTGAAACGGCCCTCCCCCGTGTCCGGTTGCGACATCTTTCATCCTTGACAAACCTCCGCCAACAATATTTCTTACTCCTCCTGCACTGATACTAGGATCAGCCGTAGTAGCAGTCCCCTTCATCTGATGTCCCTGTCCGCCTTCACCTCCACTACTTGGAGCAGTAGTTGCACTCTTGTCCCTATGAGCAGCAGTACTAGGACCTCCACCTGGACCTGCCTCTTTATTTGGGATAGGTCCCACACCATCCCGCGTGATGCTAACCTTAGAGTCCACCAACATCCACCTGGGGACTCATCTCGGAACTGTCTTCCCCTGACGGGACAGCTTTGAGAGCCTCCGGAGATGGATTGCGAGGATTGGGGGAAGCCTTAATAACGGGAATGATTGCGACAGCACCTTCCGCGACACGACCTAACCAAGCTTGAATCGCAGATTCCCACGTGTCCAAAAAGGAAGAAACGCGCTCCCCCAGAAAGCCGTGGCCGCTGCCTGCTAGGGCCTGAGCGTCTGCTCCACCAGTCAATGCCATAGGATTAGAAAGGAACTTGTTGCATCACAACAAGGAAAATTTAGCCGAACTTTCGAGTATCACAGTCACACACCTGCCGAAGCACATGAAGATCCTAATGACAACGACGACAATCTTCAGAATCCGCCTTCACTCATTCAACAAATTTCTCGTAAACTCGTTCGAGTTCCACCAGTCAATGCCATAGAATTAGCCTTCTAGAGTGCCTAACCATGGATTCAACAAATTTCTCATAAACTCGCTCGAGTGCTTCCCCGTGTTGATGCACGGTAAAAATCTAGGCAAACGCACCCGAGAAAACACCTTCCGCGCTGCTCCAGCTTTGCCTTTGTCCCACAAGTCTGTACTTCCGGTTAGTTCGACAGTCACGCCCCGAATCAGATTCTCCGTGATATACATCATGTGGTCCAGTGACTTGAACGCCGTACACAATAGTCCCCATCCTAACGCCGGCAACACCCCACCAGCAACCAGGTTCTTGTATTTTCTGTAGCGTTCGAGCGACCCTCGGAGTTCTCGCTCACGTTGCGACATGGATGCGGAGGAGGGCATAATCATACCAGTACCATCCGGCTCTGGTGGAGTAGTAGCGTTCGACGAACTACTGTGGAGGAAGCTGTTGTACAAACTGCGACTTGTTCGTGGTCTTGGGACACCTATCGTAGAGCTAGAAGATGGCAGAAAGCCACCACTCTCTTCAGTTCCATCGCCTCTTCTGGTTGTCGTAAATGGACTGCGACTCGATGTCGAGGTCGTAGCTGTAGTCCCACCAGCACCAAGAGACCCTGATAGAAGGCCGTCTCCACGCTCCAAATCTGGTGGAGCCAAATCACGTGGAGCGATTGTTCTAGTCATGTCAAAGGCATCTTCATAGTCCGGCTCTCGACTCTGGAACGCAGAAGTGAAGTAGGAGCTTGTACCACGACTTGTGATGTCGTTTCTTGTTTGAGGAGTCTGATTTTGAAGATTGTGGTTTATGCCTCCTCCAGCATCTTCGCGTTCTCCAGCATCTATTGCTTCTCCTTCGGCCCGACCCAAACCACGGCCACTGGGGTGCAAACCACGCGCAGCTTCCCCATGATCGCCTCTCGCACTCCAAAACATGCCCTGATGTTCCGCTGACACCTCTTGCTCGGCTCTCAGCTCCTCTAGGAGTCGTAGCTTTTCTTGCAGAGCTACCTCACGCTCCACATCGACTAAGCTCTTTCGCAAGGCTACGGCGTCCAGGGGCATAGTAAGAAACGAGAACAACAGCTCTAAGCCCTCACAAAATTCTCGGTAGGCCTCCATGGCACCTCCCGCAGCGGACTCGATTTTCAAACGTTTTCGGAGATCGGCTTCGGGATTAGAAGACGGGAAATCAAAAAAAAGTTGCACCTTCTACTTCTAAAAAAACAAATATATTTCAAGAACAACGTCCAGTCCTTCTACACCCGAGAGCCATGTACGTTAGTAGAGCATGTCGTGATGTGAACCCCACTTCTAGAATCCAACTACATTGCAACTTCAATCCCCATTCTTAATCTCAAGGATGTAACTCCGGTCGAAAGTGAGCATGGATAAGACTTCGCCGACAGTGCCAAATCCTGTTGCAATCCCATTGGCACCCTTCTGCACCAGCCCAAGAACCGTGCGCCAACCAGACCGAACAAGAGCGAGACCCTGAGTGAAGAGGATGGATGGATGGATGGAGATGCAGATATTAGTTTGAGGAAATCACTTCTGCAGGAGAAAGCCAAAAGCGCATTGTACGGTAACTTCACACTCACTTGCAATGAGAAACATGATAGTGCATATACCTGCCCGATTTGCTAAGAAATTGCTAGAAAAGGGTATCAAATCTTCAAACAAGAAGATCTTCAGCCGTCGAACGTGCTTTCAGGCTCATTAAAACAGTTTTTTTGACTCACATCGGGAGTCACCCTTCGGTGCTCTCTCGAGTGATCAAAAAAGGTGTCATCCTTGTGACACGAACGATGGCTGGAGATCTTTTGAGCAGTCGGGTCCTTGAATAAAACAAGGCCTTTAAACTTTTCAGTCAATCTTCATTAACATTTAGTTCATGTAGAGGATAGTCCAGCTCTATGTCTTTCCCAAGATGAAGAACCCGATAGGTCTTCATCCACAAGTAGAGATCTGCATCTTCCGTCAAAAGAGGATGTTTCATCTTATCTAATTCTAGGACTAAGCTGGCAACAGCGCACTATTCATTATCGTCGACACTTGTCAGGCTCATTAAAACAGTTTTTTTCCCTCTCATCGAAGCTATGACTAGCATAGCTCTCGAGTGAGGTAAAAGTTTGTCATCACTATCTGTCGACGATGCTTACTAAAAAATCATCATTATCAAAGGGGAGCTTGAAGATTTTGCGATTCAGCGCTGTTTCAAAGGAACTCAGGACACACTAGGGCGCATAATCTCATGCTCCTCAAGAACGATGAGATTCTGGAAGTCGGTGTGCGTCGCATTAGTGTAGCCTACCTGAGATCCTCTAAGTTGGAGACCTTCTAAAAATATCGCATTTCATTCCAAACTTCATCAAAGCTAACAGAATAAGAGTTCTAATTATATGGGTGTACCTTGACTTTCCCCATTAGCATCGGCACCAAAGTAGTCAGTCCTTGGGTGAGCCATGTAGAAATCGATTTTCCCATCCATGTGTACACATCACCTCTGTAGTAGGCTGTTCGCTGCGCTGCCGGGTTTAGAAGAAAAGTTCGCACAATACATCACAACCCAAGCAATCTCGCACAGATTTCAGCGCAGACTGCCGCGCGGCGTCATGATAGTGTTTCGTCACCATGTTTACTCACACAAGTTTTGACTAATCAATGTAATCAAATGTAGTGCCAGGAGCGAGGCCGCATGCGCTCATGGATAACCTCGTCTTAGTCCTAGATACCTGGAAGTATAATCAAGAGACCATAACAATGGGATCACTTGTCCCACGAGTTGCAGCAATCCCTCATCCGTGACGACGCGGAGCCAGTTGTTCGTCTTGACCCAATCCGGCAAGAGGGCGACTTTCGGCAGTTCGAGGTACAGCCAGAAATACAGGTCGAATCGCCCCAACTCCAGATTCTCCCACTGAATCACCGAGGGGACATCTGGGATTCTGTAATCCCTCAGATAGTCGAAACAGGCCTTTTGGCGGACGTAGCTCCACACTTTAGTCTTGGCATACTCGTCGGGGAGGTAGGGGGAAACAGCAAGACCGTTCATTTCTGCGAGCAGTGACGTGACAGGATCGGATCTTTGAGCTAGTACGGCGAGATCGGCCCATTGGAGGCCTAAGCCACGTTGGGTGCGTAGAGCTTCGTCCGGAGAACGGGTTACGTAACTGTATGGGAGGACGAGAGTGGAGGAACAAAAGTTCAAGGTTCAAGGACAAAGGACAAGTAGACGAATACAACGAATACAATTACTAGCTTCGACATCGAGATCGATGATCATCTATAACTCGAACACTAAGCTGTAAAGTGAGCAGTACCTTTTCACGGCTTCTTCCCCGAAAAACATGACCAATTCCTCTTCTCCCGTAATGCCCAGTGGAATTTCGTTCCACGCCGCCAAATAGTTGAGCAAATCAGCGTCTAAATTCAGCTCCAAATCATCCAACTGGAATTTGAAGTTTCGGAACATGTTATCGATCGAACTGCAACCATGTTTGTAGCCTTCTATTGTCAGAAAGCATTCTCGAAATTTCCGACACCCGATCACCACAGCGTGTTCGCGTACCTGCCCTCTGTCGTTTTCGGTGCCGTCTGCGAAAAACGGGTCGTCTTTGAAGAACCTCCGTGACCTTCGTTTGGCTAAGTAGTTTTTCAGATCGCTTAGACGGCGTCTGGAACGGGGATTGTTCTGTGCTGAGTGCTGTAGGTCTCTATCATGCGAAGTAGCAGCAAAATCGTCACTGCCACCAGACGAAAGCAAAGGCTGATCGTCCTGTTCAGACGCTTGCCGGTGGGAACCACGACCACTTGCAGCTGGACTGTACCCGCTGTCTCTGATGTAGCTCTGTGCTGAAAAAGTCGATGACCTTGGGCCAGCAGCCTCACCTTCTGGTGCTCTCCTACGTCCTCGTCTATCATCGAAAGGTGCCTCGTCAGAGGAACCAGAATCTATCCCAAAAGGATCCATTCCTGCTCGGCTCCTCCTTGTCTGCGAAGAGGTGTACATTCTTGTACGTCCAGCACCCCCTCCACCCCCACGCAGTTCGTGACTTCGGTCCCTTACTATCAGAGGACCCCCCCGCCTTCCATCCCGAGAGCCCCGTTCTGATTCCGACTCACTCCTTGCAAACCGCTTATCTGGTCGTGTCTTCATGTTCATCATGGCCGTTTTTCTGACTGAGTCCATGGGGAAAACGTGACTTGGTCGCGCACTATTTGTTCCAAGACTTTGTCGTCGACTGACCGTTGTAGAAGCGCGAGAAACATGTCCATGTTCGTCGCCGATGAGTCGGTGTTCGCCAGATTCTAAATCTACATCAGCGGGATGTATTTTGTTCCTGTCTACTAACAAGCGGCTTCCACTGGGTCGTGGTCCTCCCCTTCGTCCACGTCCACGTCCTCTTCTTCGTTGATATGCAGCTGGGTTGTTCGGCACCACCTCGGTAGTACTAGCAGCAGAAGCTTCTTTTGTTAGGTCCATATCATAGTCGTAGTCCTCTTGTGTAAAAGGTCGCGCATAACTTCCACCACGTGGTGCATTTTGTGCCGTAGTTGCTGGGTCAATATCTTCTAAAAATGTTGCGCCTCCAGCACCGGCTCCACCAGACATACTACTCGACAGCCTGCTACCTCTGTTGTATTGTTGATAGCTACCCATCTCTGCTGCAAAGTAGTGGTACGCATCTGGCATTCTGCCTACATTCGGCTCCACCAGACCCTTGCGTGGTAGCCAGCATCTCCCTTGATGCAAATTTGGCTCAAAATCCTTTCTGTTTGGCAATAAGCAATCCATTTGCATGTTGTCGATCACGAGGTCGAAGTAAATTGTATCAATACTGGGATCTTGGGTGAAGGCAATGCGACCCATATCGAGTTGGAGATAGAAGATCTCGCAGCCAAGTTGTTCATGCAAGAAGGAAACGCCTAGTTCGCCAACAGCGAAGTCGAGACGAAAACCTGGATTTTCAAAAGAACTGGAACTCGAGGATTGCTGTGAGACTACCCTAGTTTCGGCTTTCGGGGATGTTGCACTTGCGTTTTCATCCTCGTGTCCACCAGCGATTGTAGACAGAGCTGCTGGCTCGTTTACAGCGAAAGGGCCAGTAGTTCGTTCACCAGAGGCTACTATATCGTCAAGATTTGCATTTTTCTTGCGTCTCCGTAAGCCCACTGCGCCGCCACCGCCAGCCCCATCTGCATCTAGAAACTCGTCTGATTCTTGATCCAGCTTTGACGACGAATCGACCACAACCGGTGCACCAACGCCAGTCACTGCTGTGTAGTCTTCGCCTGTAGCACCTCTCGCAACAACATGGCCACCTTCTCCAGATGCAGCTTGATGTTCCCGAATCTCCAACACGTATTTGCCATCTTGTCGATAGCTCAACGCCGAAAAAGCACGTGAGTCAGAATGCACGACTTTAGAACTGTACACGTCGATCAGCATAGGAGGTTCAGAGGCGGCTTCGGCTATAATCACAACTGACACAAGTCTTGGCATTGTCAGCGGGTCTTCCCACCCATACTCGCACTTCTTATCCGGATAAACAGCGAACTTCTTGTTCACGACGCAAATCGCGCCCTTTGCATTGTTGAACAGAATGAAATCTGATCCTGGTCGAAAATTGATCCCTATTGGGCCGTCGTTTTGGCCAGGGCAAACTTCAACAGTGACCAAATCG